GTCAGAAAGTTGACCTTTTATATTTCCCGTCTTCGGCATCTGAAGGTGTCACTGTACATCACCTCCAAATTTATTTTCTCATGCGTTTTATACCATTGGACCTACTGCTCTCCCGTTATCTTTCCCGGTCTACTGTTTAAGACTTTCATCATAATTAGACGCTCTCTGAAAAGCATCTCTAGATATGGAGCTATATCTTATGAGGAGCTGGTTGATTCCATTGTCAACCAACACCTGACTGCGTGTGACCGTCTGTGTGACTCCATCTTGTCCGATGCGTCACATCCCTTACACACAGCTCTATCTAGCTGCATTTCAACTTCTGTAACCCGCACAAAATTTAAACCTTTATATACTCGTACCACAATTCCGTTGTACCTTACCTTTCGCATTTGTTGGCTTCTAGGGAGCGAATATCAAACGAACTTATACACAGCCACGTTGACCTTTTCCTTATTTTCTTACGGGTTCTCGGTGTTCGATTCATTATCATCTCAGTAACTATCTGTCATATCTTAAAGCTCATTTTTAATAACGTGCAATGCAAATTTTTATTATGGGTAAATCACAAAGCTGATGCTTGTTTAATCCCATAGGGACTGTATATATTGGGTTCGGTTGGCAGTACAAATGAAAAGCAAATTCTGACATTCACTCACGGGTACTGAAAAGTTATGTGGTTCAATGCTTCATACAGACCTAACTTGAATGAATCGATAATTGGTGCACAAATAACTTGGGGTGGAAGGGCGTTCCAGGTGTTACAAACTCNGAGGCTGAAAGAATGACGCCTGCAGTCGAACCGGCTCTTTTGGAGCAGAAATTTGAACGGATGTCCTCGGAGGTGGCCATTCCTGGATAGCGTCACTAGAGTACTACAAAGGTGGTTAGGTTAATGTAGTATTTGATAAACGAGGATCATGTCTCCCCGTATTCTACGGTATTTAGACGAGTAGAGTCCGAGAATTCGCACTCTTTCACCGTGGGTCTTAGATTGCAACCTTTTGACCATTTTGACTGCTGTTCTCTGCGGACGTTCAAGTGCCTTTTGGTCGCGAATCAACCATGGATTTCAAGCCTGTATGGTATACTCAGTGTGTGGTCTAATGTATGCTGATAATAAACGAGGCAATAGGTCTATTTCAAATGATCCAAAAACACGTTTTAGCAATTCAACGTGTTTTATAGCCTTTGAAGACGCACTTGCGCAATGTGTGGAGCATCCTAGATCCTCATGAACGACAACTCCCAGGTCCTTTTTGTTTGGAGAACGCGGCAGTGGCTGAGTTCCAAGTAAGTATGGAAAGCGACCCCTGTGGCGTAGCGATACAACCTTTCATTTTTTCTATGTTGAATTCGATATCATTATTGATGGACCATCGGTAAGCTGCGTCGAGAGTTTCTTGAAAGGTTTTATAATCTTCAGAATATTTTACCGTCCTCCATGTTTTGGCGTCAAAGCAAAAGCGATAACATTCTTTTCACTGAAAATCCTGTCCACATTGGATGAATAAAGTGCACTCTTGACCTGACTTGACTTGACCAGGCCGCCGGTGTGTCAATCAAATCACTCTGCGTCAAGTCCTCGAGCTAAGACATACGCACCGTCGGGCAACGGTTGTCGTGTTCCTTGACTTAAAAGGAGCCTTCCACTAAGTTGACCGCGAATCCCTTCTCTTCTTCGCAAAGGAATGCCGCAGAAGTATGTGAACATGAGTTCACTCTACTCACATACCTCTGGTACCGTAAGGGTCTACGGCGAGCCGAGTAGGTCGTCCGTAACTAGCAGCGGTGTTCGTCAAGGGTGCCCTCTTTCGCTATTCCTGTTCAATTTCGTCATAGACAAAATACTGGAGAACACACTAAGTGATCTCCAAAATGTAGGTATTGAATGGGCAGCTGGAGGAAAGGTGTGCGATTTAGAGTACGCTGACGACATCGTTTGCATGTGGAGGATGCACAAAGAGCACTTGACAGATTAGCAAGTTCTGTCGCTCCGTTCGGCATGTGCTATGCACCTTCAAAGTGCAAAGTNACTGGGTGTCGCCGAGTTCTGTTCTGAAACTAGACGGTCAGGAATTAGCTGTAGTTGACTGCTCCTCGTACTTAGGTAGCTGCGTGACCAACGACGGTAGCGCATCAAAGAAGATAACCACCTGCATTTCCAAGGCTCGAGTAGTATACACAGGACTTAAACACCTGTGGCAGCGACGTGACGTTTCACTGAAATTGAAAGGTCGCGTATACTGCGCCACTGTACCATCAGTTTTGCTGTATGGTTGAGACCTCGAACTTGCGGGTAGAAGACACCCGTCGTTTAGTAGTGTTCGACAATCGGTGCCTACGTAGTCTGACCCAAGCGGGATGGAGTGAGTGGGTAATTTAGAAGTCGTCGGGTGTTTGGGAATACCTCAAACAAGAACTCGCTATCGCGTCGAATCCAGCTCAACAGGCTTCTTTGGTTAGGACATGTGTTGCGTATGTCCGACGGTCGCGTACCACAGTGGCTGTTGTAGGCTGGAGAAACGAGCGTGGAGGCCAGCAGATGACGCGGAGACGAGGCATGAAGAAATGCACAGAGCGATTAGGTAGAGTAGGTATCTCTCGTCCAAAAGACTCCGAAACCGCATGGTTGGAGACACTGAAGGTCATGGCTGCGAACCGACAGCAATGGCGACTTCTTATCACTCCAGAATTCTTGAACTAGTATGTATACACAGTTGGGTTGTGTATTNNGGCCAGCAGATGACGCGGAGACGAGGCATGAAGAAATGCACAGAGCGATTAGGTAGAGTAGGTGTCTCTCGGCTTCCGTGTAGGGGGTCCAAAAGACTCCGAAACCGCATGGTTGGAGACACTGAAGATTATGGCCGCGAACCGACAACAATGGCGATCATGCTGTCACTTCTTATCAGACCAGAATGTTTGAAATAGTATGTATGCACAGCTGGACTATGATCTCTGTGTGTTGACCCTAAGAATAGGTTCAATCCCTGTCCTCCTTACATATTATCACTTACCTTGTATGCAATGAGTTTGGCAGCGATCAGTGAAGTCCGCTTCACTGTATTACGCTGTACAATGATGATGATGATTTCCCATACTTCCAATCACCACATAAAGAAGGAATGGAAAACTTAACCATCAAAATGGGCAGAAAACAATAATGAACCAATAAGCCGATCATAAACGCAGAGTTCGACCAAACGGTCCCCTCGATAATCAATGAAAACCTTTCACTTACCGGAAGCAATGAGGGTGGGGAAACAACAGTCGTGTTACCAAATCCACTATTAGG